TGGAGAGTTGAAATACCATTGAAGTTTGTTACACATTACACAAGGTATGTAATATTATTATCGCTTTGATACCACAACTGATAATTATTCCAATCATTAATGCTTATTAAACATACACAATTATTACTTTCGGTTACCTATTGCACATGCAATAAAAATTAGACCAAAGGTAGATCTAGAATGAAACTACAACATGCACAATTTCCTCAGAAATCTGTAGACAAACTTTTTTTTATTATGAAAAATTCCCCCAAAAAAGGAGGAACCTTGACCGTAGTCAATTTCCAGGAGGCTATGGGCGAGTGTATAAACTGAGGGTAGAGCCAACAGGTACTGAAAATATTTTCACTATATTGCTAATTATAGGTAATATAATTGATTATACCATTGATTATATTTAATACGGCGGTTAGTCGGTCATTATTACATACAAAACTCTTATAGGAAGTTAGTAAAACATTCGTATTTGTAGACCAGTTTCATAACTATTTAGCCAGCAGTATTATCATAATAATACTGCTTGTAATTGAAGACAATGGTGCGGTTTGCGGTTGTCGGTATCTGTACAAAACTTCTGTAGAAAAAGTTTGAAAATCCGGATTTACGAGGGAAAACGCTATTTAAGCCACTTAAAAATCTTATAAATATTAAATATTTTTCAATATAAAGCTGTGTACTTAAAAAGAACTTTCTAATAAATTTTTTTAAAAAAATGCTTAATTTTGAATATAATTCAGAAGAGGTAATAGGTAATATCGGTGGCTGTTTGAGGTGTAACCTTTATTAAGGCGCATTGTATATGCAATTTTTTGCTAAAATTTAACACCAATTTAAAATTGTGATAGATACATAATACCATAGAAAAAAAGTATCTGTTCAATTAATTTGCATTGCAGTTAATAAACTACAAACCAGTTGCGTGCCTAGGTTTTGAATGGAATTGAATGGAAGAGTTATCAAACTATTTGGCCGGCAGTATTATCATAGGCAAAGTGTGCGCAGTGTGTCTGTGTGCATCAGTGATAGGAAATTGAAATAACAGATTTAAGACAAAAAACGCTATTTAAGCCACATAAAAATCTTATACATATTAAATATTATTATAACATAAAGCTGTGTACCTATATAAAATGTTCTGATGTAAATTTTAAAAAAATGTCTAGTTTCAATATAAACTGCTACAAATTCAAATTTAAGTTTTATTTTACATTTCATTAAAATTGTTTAAATTAAGTACATGGCTATTCATTGTACCTAATAATATGTTTAGGTGGCATAAATAGCACTTTTTGTTAAAAACCCAGATCGCTGGATACCCAGTGTGTATGTTGTATAACAGAAAATAATACAATAAGTGATTTTTCATACAAATTTTCACACGACAATTAAGGCAGTACATTTTATTTAATGGAAATGTTAATAAAAAAAACAATCTATATTTTGCTCTGAAATTATAATTTTTATTACAGCACGATAAGACTACACTAATATCCAAATATACAATTTTTATTACAAAAAGTGTTCACTAAAGAATACATTATTGCCAAAAAATACAATTTTTATTACACAAAGTACTCAACAAGACTACACCAATACAGTGCGGTTACAGTAATGTCGCACATTATAGAACTCTAAAACAGCGAATAGATTTATTAACCATACTTGACCCACTATCAGGGGCTAGCTCACAAGATACAGTCGGTTCATCTTTAAGGGCGGTCAACACAAACTTGTTGCACCTGCTCCCCACGGCACATCAAACGTCAACTTGTAATCATTCTCCGTCTCGCCTTGCTTCCTCAGGAATAAATAACCAGTGACACCCGACGGCGAATGTTCACGGCCGCACGCTCGAACGGTCAGCGGATTATCTTTTGAGATTTTCGAACCATTTGGAGACGTTAACTCATTACATTTACCATCGGTCCATTTTCCAAAGCTTAAAAATGAGTCACGTACTTCCAAATGACTGTCGGCGTAGTTGTACTTAATCGTAAATGCCGCTTTTTGGCTTTGCATACATTATAACATTATTTGGATCGGAATTAGAAATTACATTCGGATTGTCGCCGGATTGCGTATTTACGTTCAAGGTTATGATTGCGGACCGAACGCTGGTTACAGCGAGAAACACAAAAATTAATCGGTACATGATTGCGAAATTGCGTTATAAAATGTAAAAGCAACGAGTCAGTACTGTGTGTAATTTGTAGTTGTACTGAATGTTTGACTACTGGATTGACCGTATATATACCAGGAATTGCCAGTTTCGCAATAATCGATTTTACATTTTGTACAATAATTCTGAACTTCAGACACAAGAGGGCAAAAAGTAAAAAGAATGATAGTATGTGTGACCTTCTTATTGTGATTTCTATTTTGAAAAATGAAGAAAATTCTCAACCAGATTGACCAAGACTGACTCACCGAATTCGTGTTAATATAAACGATAAACGTACAAATTCGGTCAGCCGTCGTGTACAAAAAGTGTGTAGCTCTATCTACCGAATTTATGGTTATGGTAGCGAAATCGTATAAATTAGATTGGCAGTGGTATCCAAATGTGTGCAGTTCAGCCTACCGAATTTTTCAGCGTGTGAAGCAAGTGTGTAGATCGAATCACTGAATTCATGTATTTTTAGCGATAAACGTACAAATTCAGTCAGCCGTTGTGTACAAAAAGTGAGTAGCTCTAGCTACCGAATTTACGTTATTCTTAGCGAAAACGTAGAAATTAGATCGGCAGTGGTATACAAAAGTGTGCCGTTTGAACATTGGATGTTTTTTACTTAATAGCAAAAACAGAAATTATAATAAATAATATAGATAATACTACTAATTTATATATCATTTCAAAATAAAAAAATTAACTTTTTTCATATATTATTATAAGCGCAATTAGTTAATATGCTTAATTATTTTGTTATATCATTGAGTTAAATGGTTTAGTTAGAGTATAGTTTTCTAATCAAACAGTGTCTTGTGTCCATAATTGGCTATTATTATTCTTCAAATAGTTTACTACTGTTATTAAATAAAAAGTATTCATTTTGCCTGATTTTTTAACATTGAAACTCAAGTGGGAGAAAAAAACAAACAAATTTAACTAATCAACTTGCTGTTATCTTTACATAAGAAAATGTAGAAAATGATTGAGAACCGTTGTATGCATAACCTTTATGGATCGACTTACCAAATTTATGGTGTTATAGCGATAAATATATAAAGTCAGCCACCGTACACAAAAAGTGTGTAGCTCTATGTACCGAATTGACGGTTATGGTAGCGAAATCGTATAAATTAGATTGGCAGTGGTATACAAATGTGTGCAGTTCAGCCTACCGAATTTTTCAGTGTGTGTAGCAAGTGTGTAGATCGAATCACTGAATTCATGTATTTTAGCGATAAACGTACAAATTCAGTCAGCCGCCGTACACAATAAGTGTGTAGCTCTAGCTATCGAATTTATATGGACATAAAATCTTTTATCTTTTTATCTTTTAGTACAAGTAATGAAGTTGTGGTTTTACAATCGGCTAACATCGTTTAAGCATCGATGCAGGCGGCGAAGGTGTTTTACTCTGGTGTGGGCTTTTTTTTAACTGTATACACTGTAACTTTTTAATTACTGGACCAATTCTTTCGAGTAGCAACTTTTCAAATCACAAATTTCACATAGTTGGTACCTTAGGGGGTAAAAGTTGAAAAGGTATACTATTCTTTACAGTCAAAATTTGAAAAAACAGAAAAACACTATACCAGTTTTTAAATAAGAATTTTACTGGCTATAATTTCGAGAAAATGTGTTCCATCTAGTTGAAATTATCAGAAATATTATTTCGTTTGCCCTCACACGTCAGTTGTATCAAATTTAAATTATACCAATATACCACCCCCCTCCCCCTAGTGGGGTACAAGTTTTTATTTTTTTATTTTTTAGCCGTAATTTTAAGACCTTCAAAAAAAAATTTGTCAGGAGTTAGATGTCATATGTATCCATTACATATTAAACGGGAAAAATTCGGTACCACAGCTTTTTTTAATTGCCGAAAACTGTGTTTTGGCAGATTGCGTATATTTTAACAAAGACACCTAAAATCTTAAAAAAAAAGTTATCAAGTTATTAAAACATTTTTTTGTAGATCTAAGCAGAATGATACTATAAAGTTTTGATACTCAAGTACCATTTTTGGGTTTTAATTTAAGTTTTTTTTGGCCGATTAAAATTGAGAACTGATATTAAATTCGTAATCACCGTTTTCAGTGATTTTATCCGAGATGACTAGTACAGTAGAGTTTAGGCATTATGGAATCAAAGCAACAAGGGGACAGAGAGGTCACAGGTCTATAGGAATTATTGTAAATAAAAATGACAAAATTGAAAAAAAACGCTATTTAATTCACGTAAAATTCTTTAAAAATTTTTATTAAAATATAAAGCCGTGTATCTAAGTAAAATGTTATGATAAAACATTTTTTTAAAACATGCTTAGTTTTAAATATAAATTGCTACAAATCCGAAATCATGTTTTTTTTTTAAATTTCATCAAAAATATTTTAATGAGGTACACAGCTTTTTATTGTTTAAGTGACATAAATAGCATATTTTTTGTAAAAATCCGGATTACTGCATACCCATTTTTACTGAGTAGGTATGTTGTATAACAGAAAATAATACAATAACCTATTATTTTTCAAACAAATTCCCAAATGAAAATTTTAGGCAGTTAAATCAATTTTGTAGTACATTTGTTTAGTTAATATATTACACTTTTTACGAGACAACCAAAATTCAAAACTATTTGTTTTAGTATTGCACTAATTTAAACTTTTTAAATAGTTATAACTTTTGAACCGTGGGGAATAATTACTTATTTTTAACATTTGTATTTTTAAAATACTAAATGTTAACAGAATATATCCAGTTTAACATTTCCAATATAACTAATTTGCATATAAGAAAAGGTATTTTGAGTATAAAATGTATAACAAAAAAACCATTTTTGCTCTCAAATTATAATTTTTATTACAATACTACGATTGGATTACACTATTAACTAAATATACAATTTTTATAACACAAAGTATTCACTAAGGCTACACTAATACAATGCGATTACGGTAATGTTGCGCATTATATAACTTGTTTACAGCGAACAGTTTCTTTAATCGACCTGACCCCTGTTGCAGAGGGTATCACACAAGATACAACCTGATCGTCTTTAACGGATTCCACAAGAAACTGTCTGAACCAATCCACGGCACGATAAACTTCACCTTGTAATCATTTTCCGTCTCGCCTTGCTTCCTCAGGTATATATAACCATCCACACCAGTCGGTGAATTAGCACGGCCGCACGCCCGAATGGTCAGCGGATTATCTTTTGAGATTTTCAATCCATTTGGAGATGTTATCTCATTACAATCTCTATCGGCCCATTTTCCATAGTCTAATATTGAGTCTTTTACTTCCAAATAACTGTCGTTGTAGTTGTACTGTACCGTAAATGTCACTTTTTGTTTTTCTGCATCCAATATATTATTATTTGGATCAGAATAAAAACTTACAGCCCGAGTGTCGCCGGATTGCGTATCCACGTTCACGGTTATGATTGCAGACCGAACGCTGGTTACAGCGAGAAACACAAAAATTAATCGGTACATGATTGCGAAATTGCGTTAAAAAATGTACAAGCAACGAATTAGCACTGTTTGTAATTTGTAGTTATACTGAATGATTGACTACTGAATCGACCTTATATATACCAAGGAATTACTTAACCGTCGTATGCATAATGTGTGTAGATCGACTCACCGAATTCATGTTAATATAGCGATAAACGTACAAATTCGGTCAGCCGTCGTGTACAAAAAGTGTGTAGCTCTATCTACCGAATTTATGGTTATCGTATCGAAATCGTATAAATTAGATTGGCAGTGGTATACAAATGTGTGTACTAATTTATATATCATTTCAAATAAAAAAATTAACTTTTTTCATATATTATTATAAGCACAATTAGTTAATATGCTTAATTATTTTGTTATATCATTGAGTTTAATGGTTATAGTTAGAGTATAGTTTTCTAATCAAACAGTGTCTTGTGTCCATAATTGGCTATTATTATTCTTCAAATAGTTTCTACTGTTATTAAATAAAAAGTATTCATTTTGCCTGATTTTTTAACATTGAAACTCAAGTGGGAGAAAAAAACAAATTTAACTAATCAACTTGCTGTTATCTTTACATAAGAAAATGTAGAAAATGATTGAGAACCGTTGTTTGCATAACCTTTATGAATCGACTTACCAAATTTATGGTGTTATAGCGATAAATATATAAAGTCAGCCACCGTACACAAAAAGTGTGTAGCTCTATGTACCGAATTGACGGTTATGGTAGCGAAATCGTATAAATTACATTGGCAGTGGTATACAAATGTGTGCAGTCAGCCTACCGATTTTTTTAGCGTGTGTAGCAAGTGTGTAGATCGACTCACTGAATTTATGTATTATAGCGATAAACGTACAAATTCAGTCAACCGCCGTACTCAATAAGTGTGTAGCTCTAGCTATCGAATTTACGTTGTTTTAAGCGAATAGAGGTTGTTGTGTTATACAAAAGTGTGCAGTTTGACCTTTGAGTTTTTCAACATTGAGGCAAAAACAGAAGTTATATAGACATAAAATGTTTTATCTTTTTATCTTTTAATACAAGTAATGAAGTTGTGTTATTACAATCGCTAACATCGTTTTAACTTTGATGCAAGGCGTCGTATGCAAGTATTGAAATTTATCAGAAATATTATTTCGTTTGCCCTCAAACGTCAGTTGTATCAAATTTAAATTATACCAAATTCCCATCCCCCTAGGGGTACAAGGTTTTTTGTTTTTTTTTAATTTTTAACCGTAATTTTAAAGACTTTTAAATAGAAAATTTGTCAGTAGTCAGAACTCATATGTATCCATAACATATTAAATGGAAAAGAAAATTCGGTACTACAGCTTTTTTTTAATTGCTGGAATACTGTGTTTTCGCAAATTGCGTATATCTTAACAAAAACACCTAAAATCTTTAAAAAAATGTTATTAAGTTATTAAAACAATTTTTTGTAGATCTATGTAGAATGATCCTATTAAGATTTGATACTAAAGTACCATTTTAGGGTTTTCATTTAATTTTTTTTTTTTTTATTTAAGTTTTTTTGGCTGATTAAAATTGAGAACTGATATTATATTCGTAATCACCGTTTTCGATGATTTTATCCGAGGTGACTAGTACAGTAGAGTATAGGCATTATATAATCAAAGCAACGAGGTGATGTGAATATATCCAGTTTAACATTTCCAATATACTAATTTGCATATAAGAAAAGGTATTTTGAGTATAAAATGTATAAAAAAAAAATAACAATTTTGTTCTGAAATTATAATTTGTATACAATACGATAAGACTACACTAATAACAATATATTCAATTTTTATTACAAAACGTGTTCACTATTGCCAAAAAATACAATTTTGATTACACAAATTTTTCACTAAGGCTACACTAATACAATGCGATTACGGTAATGTTGCACATTATATAACTTGTTTACAGCGAACAGAACTTTGAATCGACCTGACCCCTCTTTTAGGTATCACACAAGATACAACCTGATCGTCTTTAACGGATTCCACAAGAAACGTGTCTGAACCAATCCATGGCACGATGAACTTCACCTTGTAATCATTTTCCGTCTCGCCTTGCTTCCTCCTCAGAATATGTAACCATCCACACCCGTCGGTGAATTAGCACGGCCGCACGCTCGAATGGTCAGCGATTATCTTTTGAGATTTTCAATCCATTTGGATCCGTGATCTCATTACAACCGCTATCGGTCCATTTTCCATAGTCTAACATTGAGTCTTTTACTTCCAAATAACTGTCGTCGTAGTTGTACTGTATCGTAAATGTCACTTTTTGGTTTTCTGCATCCAATATATCATTATGTCGATCAGAATTTAAACTTACAGCCCGAGTGTCGCCGGATTGCGTATCGTTCACGGTTATGATTGCGGACCGAACGCTGGTTACAGCGAGAAACATAAAAATTAATCGGTACATGATTGCAAAATTGCGTTATAAAATGTAAAAGCAACGAGTCAACACTGTTTGTAATTTGTAGTTGTACTGAATGTTTGACTACTGGATTGACCGTATATATACCAAGGAATTGCCAGTTTCGCAATAATCGATTTTACATTTTGTACAATAATTCTGAACTTTAGACACAAGAGGGCAAAAAGTAAAAAGAATGATAGTATGTGTGACCTTCTTATTGTGATTTCTATTTTGAAAAATGAAGAAAATTCTCAACCATCGTATGCGTAAACTGTGTAGATTGACTCACCGAATTCGTGTTAATATAAACGATAAAAGTTCAAATTGGTCAGCTGTCATGTACAAAAAGTGTGTAGCTCTAGCTACCGAATATACGTTATTTAGCGAAACGTAAAAACTAGATCGGCCATAGTTGTACATCATTACTATTAGGATATTTATAATAATAAAAAAATTATAACAACTACATTGCATTAATATTCAGCATATTATTGTATAAATAAAAAATTACCTTTTTGTTATATCATTATATGCACGATTGATTATTATACTTATGATTTTGTGTATTAGTTATAGTAGGGTTTAGTTTTTCTAATCAAACAGTGTCTTTGTGTCCATAATTAGCTATTATTATTCTTCAAATAGTTTCTACACTGATATTACAAAAAAGTATTCATTTTGCCTGATTTCTTAACATTGAAACTCAAGTAGGAGAAAAAACAATTTTACCTTATCAACTTTTTGTTTTTTTTGTATTAGAAAATGTAGAAATAGGCCTACAGTCTACTGTCGTATGCATAATGTGAGGTTGGGGGTTGGGATAAGGGTAATTGGAATTATTTTACTCAGTCCCGGCAGACTAAATCTTGGGCAACGCCGGGTACAAGAGTGTGCCGTTTGAACAAAAAAAAAAATTATATTAAATAATAATGAAAATATTTCTAATATATTATATGTAAATTATAATATATATTATTAATATTGTTAATATTGTAAAATAAAAAATGAAACATTTTACATAAAAAAATACAAACATTTCTCGACCGTCGTATGCAAATTAAAATGCTTAATTATTTTTAGAAATTACAATGTTAAAACAGAGTCTTTGTGTACGCATGATTTTTTGTAAATGTATAAATGTAATCTTATTTAAAAAAAATTAAAGTCAACTGGCAAAAAAATAAAGAAATCGAGTGAACGCAAGTAGTATTTACTTTATCCTAAAGAAAAATCGTCGATATTGGATGTACAAAATGTTTGTCGTATTCACACTTTGGTACACTAACCGTTATACACACACCCTGTAAATAAATTTACTTAAATACCTTTTACCTAAACACTAAGGTGCCTTTTAGTAAGTGCGAATAAATGTGGCAGACCTTCCGATTGTTTCTGCCTCGGTGATTTCCCGTCCAACGATCAATATTTTGAATTTATTATTTAGTTCTAATTTGAACGTTGAACGTACAACATATCTCTTATCTCTTATCTCCTATATTTTCCCTATCTTCTACCCACTATATCCCATCCCCTATCTCCTACCCCCATCTCATACCCCTATTTTCAACCCACTATCACTCACCCCTATCCCTACCCATATCTCTCTACACCCATTCCACTCATCCTATCTCCCACCCCTATCTTGTAACGCTTTTTTTCGTTATACATTTTTCGGTTAAGTGCCAGAGCTAATGAAAATTTTAGGCAGTTAAATCAATTTTGTATACAATTTTTTAGTTAACATATTACACTTTTTACGAGACAACCAAAATTCAAAACTATTTGTTGTAGTATTGCACTAATTTGAACTTTTTAAATAGTTATAACTTTTGAACCGTGGAGAATAATTACTTATTTTTAACATTTGTATTTTTAAAATACTAAATGTAAACAGAATATATCCAGTTTAACATTTCCAATATAACTATTTGCATATAAGAAAGGTATTTTGAGTATAAAATGTATAACAAAAAAACCATTTTTGCTCTCAAATTATAATTTTTATTACAATACTACGATTGGATTACACTATTAACTAAATATACAATTATTATTACACAAAGTATTCACTAAGGCTACACTAATACAATGCGATTACGGTAATGTTGCGCATTATATAACTTGTTTACAGCGAACAGTTTCTTTAAGCGACCTGACCCCTGTTGCAGAGGGTATCACACAAGATACAACCTGATCGTCTTTAACGGATTCCACAAGAAACGTGTCTGAACCAATCCACGGCACGATAAACTTCACCTTGTAATCATTTTCCCGTCTCGCCTTGCTTCCTCAGGTATATATAAACCATCCACACCAGTCGGTGAATTAGCACGGCCGCACGCCCGAATGGTCAGCGGATTATCATTTGAGATTTCAATCCATTTGGAGATGTTATCTCATTACAATCTCCATCGCCCATTTTCCATAGTTTAAAATGAGTCCACGTACTTCCAAATAACTGTCGTTGTAGTTGTACTGTACCGTAAATGTCACTTTTTGTTTTTCTGCACGCATTGTATCATTATTTGGATCAGAATTAAAACTTACAGCCCGAGTGTCGCCGGATTGCGTATCCACGTTCACGTTCACGGTTATGATTGCGGACCAAACGCTGGTTACAGCGAGAAACACAAAAATTAATCGGTACATGATTGCAAAATTGCGTTATAAAATGTACAAGCAACGAGTCAGTATGTTTGTAATTTGTAGTTGTACTGAATGTATGACTACTGAACCCACGGTATATATACCACGGAATTGCCTGTTTGGCAGTAATCGATTTTTTAAACTGGACCAAGTATTATAAACAACTAAATATTCCGACCTTCGAACACAAAGGGCAAATAGTACAACGTGTGATAGATAATATGTTAAGTTTATTGCTACCCTGGTCAAATTAATCGTCTCTAACGCAGGGTATCAACTCGACAGCTCAGATTTGGTGCTTTACAATCAAACGAACCAAATGATTGCCTATATGATTCAACATGACGTTGTTAACACACCTTTGATAGCAAGACATTTCTGAGCGATAAACATATAGATGTAATTGGCGGTTTTTTAAGAATAATTGTAGGTCTAGCTCTAGCTACCGAATTTACGTTATTTTTAACGATACCATTGAAACTTGCTGGATTGGTCATTGTTGCATTTAAAATTAAGAATATCAGACTATTTATTTTAACATAGTTTGACTCCATAACTATTAAGATACATGTATTACTATACTATGCGTATATATTTTTTTCAAGAACTATTTAATGTTTTTTTTAAAAAACTATACATAAAACTTTTATAAATAATGTAACTCACCTGTTATCTTTACTTTACTTTAATCAAAAACCGTCGATATTCAATATATAAAATGTCACCGAAAAGTGATGAAAAAAAAAATGGTGAACTTTTTTTATACTTTTATGGGATTTTCAAAAAAAATTATATGCTTAATTATTTTTAAACGTCGAAATGTCTAGTAAAAAAAAAACATTTATTCACAGTCTCATGTTCATCATTGGCAAAATATTTTACAGCGTGTTGCTCTCGTATACTTTCAAGTAATGTCGGTATAACATCAAGTTGAAGACGGTTATCTTGTTATTTTTTAAACATACACAATCGAAATTGTACTCAAAATTGACACATCAATAGTTTTCAGATGAGGCAATCCATTGTACAACTAAACCTGCACATTTTAATATAATTTCAAATAATTAAATTCATATATTAGTAATCATCTATTTTATTAACGCTGAATAAGTTAAAAAAAAATAATCTATTTTACTTAATGACTATATCTATTTTAATAATTAATTTTTTTTCTCCACTTTTATAACTCATATACGATTTATTTTTGTACAAAAACGTATGTTTCTCACTTCAAATTATTCTTATAACACAGAGATAATAGCTGGTAGGCAGCCGGATAGGTCATAGATTCCAAGTGGGATGTGGGGTTCACTGTCTAGCTATCTGTCAGATCAGAAACGACGTACTAAAAAAGTGAGTGTACGGTACTTCTTGCTTAAAGATTAAAATACAATTTTTTAAATTTTAAACTGAAAAGAATAGTCTAGAAGTTAGACGATTACGGGTTATCAAGTGTCCGGTGTTGCTTACTTTATGGTTGAAAACAGATAAAAATGCTAGAGGTCAGTTGGCTAAATATCTGTTATGGTGTACGTATGTAAAACAAAGTTGTTCAAACGTAGATAACTGTATGTTATATGTCTAGATATTGGTTGAATTAAAATACTTATTTGTTCAGAAAATCACCGTCTATGCCAGTATCTGATAATGTACGTTTAGAACTTAACCATCAGAGGTACACGTGGCGTGGAGTATTAAAGGTAGATACTTGAAGTCTGACATCTGATGGTTATTAGAAGTTTAAAATTGTGAAAGAATGATATGTTTGTGTCCTGTGAGGGTTACTTAGGAACTCAAGGGTACAAAACATGAATGCAATGTCTAGAGGTCAATCGGTATATATTAAATAGGGAAACAATTGAAGAGTGATGGATAAATAGGTAAAAATAATTTGTAGAAAATATGTTTGATTATTCGGCGATCCAAAATCTAAATATACAAATTATTTGTTAAAAGTTAAATGATTTTGAGTAGTATTTAAAAACTAACTATCCACATCCATATAATAATAAGTACCTAAACTGGAATTTACCCATACTTATATTTCATATTATTTTAATACTAAAATAGTAGTGATAAAACTATATAATCGAGATTAAAAATATTAATAATATATTATATTATACATATATATTAGTAACATTATTCTATATTATTTATTATAATTTTGGGTTTATAGGCTTCTAAGTTTATGCTGCAATCATATAAAGTACCTAGGTTGTTTCAACAAAAACTTCTATAATCGACAGTTGAACTAATTTCAGTTGTATCTACAAATATGAAAAAAATCGAAGATCCAACTGCCTACTTTTGTATACCACAGTCGATCTAATTGTTATGTTTTCACTAAAAATAACGTTAATTCGGTAGCTAGAACTACACACTTTTTGTGTACGACGGCTGACCGAGATTGTAGGTTCATCGCTATAATAACATGCATTCGTTGAGTCCATCTATACACTTCATTCATACGACGGTCGATTCAATTTCTACATATTTTTCTAATCTGAAAATGACAAAAGTTTGTTTACTTAAATTTTTTAATTTTTTGCCATTTGAGTATTAATTATAAAAAATGTGTCAACATTTTTACATTTTTTGAACATCGGTAGAAACTATTTAATAAATGATGATGGCCGATTGTAAAAACAAATGTGAACACAAAGACACGGTTTGTTTAACAATAATTATGCATATTAATTTTTTAATTAGCCCATAATGGTTTTTATACCAAGTTCATCTTTAATTTGTACAATAACCGGTTACATGATAGTTTTCGATAACGTTTTATATATCTAATATTGACGGTTTTCCATTCGGTAAACTGTAATGTTAGCAGGTTGAGTTACATATTTTTAAAGTTGCTGAACATCGAGTATTAACTTTTTTTTATAGAAGAACATGAAATAGTTCTCAAAAAAAAAAAAAAAAAATACGCATAGCATAGTAATACACGTATCCTAATAGTTAAGGGTCAAACTATGTAAAGTCAATATTTCTACGTTTTCGCTAAAATAATGTAAATTCGGTAGCAAGAGCTACGCACTTCTCGTATACGACGGCTGACCGAATTTGTACGTTTATCAGTAAAATAACGTTTTATTATGTATATTATGTGTTCTAATAGTTATCGGTCAAACCACGTTAAAATCAATAGTCTGAGATTCTTAATTTTGATATGCAACAATCGAGCAAGTCTCAACGTTTTCGCTAAAAATAACGTAAATTCGGTATCAAAAGCTACCTACACAATTTTCTTATAAAACCGCCGATTCAATGTAAATGTTTATCGCTGAGAAATTTCTTGTCTATCAAAGGCCTAATAACAACGTCATGTTGAATCGTATAGGCAATCATTTGGTACGTTTGTTTGTGAAGCACCGTATCTGAGCTGTCGAGTTGATAATCCTGTGTTGAAGGCGATAATTTGGCCAAAGGGAGCAACACATTTAACATATTACCTATCATATTTTGTACCGTTTGCCCTCTTGCGTCCGAAGTTCAGAATTATTTAGTTGTTAATAATACTTTGTCCGTAATAAAATACAAAATCGATTACCGCAAAACGGGCAGTTCCGTGTTATATACGGTTAATTCCGTAGTCATACATTCAGTATAACTACAAATTACCAACAGTGCCATCTCGTTGCACGTGCAATTTATAACGCAATTTCGCAATCATGTACCGATTAATTTTTATGTTTCTCGCTGTAACCAGCGTTCGGTCCACACTAGTAACCGTAAACGTGGATACGTCGTCCGACAAAATTCAGTTCGATAAATGCTCCATCGTCTGCGGTCCCTGTGTTCTGTTATATGTTCGCGTCTGCCAATAAGTCTACCTACAGCTCTCTGCAAAAGTGTTTGCAAGCCACTGTGCGAAAAATCGTGTCAGTCGGTAAGTGGTTAATTGCAACTGCAGTTATCAGACTATGCAGTTTCCGTTTCACCTGATTTACACAGCATGGTGAATTTATTCCTTGTTATTTTCACTTTTTTCTCAGGATCCGAAAATAGCAATTACGATAACGTAAATCATAACGACACTTATGTGGAAGTACGTGATTCGGATTTAGACTCGGGAAAATGGACCAAAGATGATTGTAAAAAGACATCGTCTCCGGATGGTTTGAAAATCACAAAAGATATCCGGTGACCATTCGAGCGTGTGGCAAGGATCTATCGACGAAGGGTGTCAAAGGTTATTTTTACCTGGCGCTCAATAACGAGACGGAAAATGATTACAAGGTGACATTTAGCGTGCCGTCGATGATAACCGGTAAAAACAATTTTTCATTTGGATCCCCTTAAAAACGATGGGCCTATAAGTTGTGAGCCAGACGTGCAAGGCTCAAGTTCGATTCCATCGTCCATCCGCTGTTTTAGAGTAATATGATAACGTGCAACACTACCGTTATCGCATTGTATTTTCGGGCATTGTTGTAGTCTCAGTGAATATGTTTTGTAATAAAAATTGTATAATATATGCCATTAGTGTAGTGTTATTTTTTTGTAACAATAACAATTATAATTCCAAAGCTAAACATTTTTATTATTCAAAAACATTCTGTACTAGAAATAACACTTTCTAAGTTCAAACTGTATGCAAATTGTTTTCAATGTCTAAATTTTAATCTTATGTTGTTTGCGCATGTGCACCGTCTACGTATGAAATTTAATTGGAACTCCTATACTTTTCGGATATTCTGTTGAAGTTGAATATTTTGAAAACCAAAATGTTAAAAACCAGTTTTTATACTCAACAGCTGTTTAAAAGTTATAGCTATTGCAATTCAAATTAGTGCACTATTATAAAGCATTTATAGGTATGTTAAAACAAATAATTTGTAGTTCAAACTGTATGCTAACTTTAAAACTCTTATTCCGGATTTAAAAAAAAAAAACGTTATTTAAGCCACATAAAAATCTTATAAATATTATTATAATATAGTGCTGTGTGATTTTGTATTTTATACCGGACAAAGTATTATAAACAACTAAATAATTTTGCACTTTAGACACAAGAGGGCAAACGGTAAAGTTTATTAGTAAGAGCAGCGTTTATTGCTACCCTGGCAAAATTCACATACAGATATGGTGTTTCACAAACAAACGTACCAAATGATTGCCTACACTATTCAACATGACGTTGTTATTAGGCCCGTGATAGACAAGAAATTTCTTAGCGATAAATATATACATTGAATCGGCGGTTTTATAAGAAAATTGTGTAGGTAGCTTTTGATACCGAATTTACGTTATTTTTAGCGAAAACGTTAAAACTTGCTCGATTGTTGAGTACAAAATTAAAAATCTCAGATTATTGATTTTAACACAGTTTGACCCCATAACTTTTAGAATACGTATTATACATAATATAACTAAGCACTATTTGAAACTCGAGTGGCGAAAAATAAAAAAGTTTAAGTTTTCAAATTTTTGTCATTTTAGATTAGAAAGTGTAGAAAATGAATCGCCGTCGTATACATAGCATATTATGTATAGATCGACTCACCCAATTCATGTTATTGTAGCGATAAACCTACAATTTAGGTTAACTTTTTAAATTGAGAATAATATACTAAAAATGTTGACTGGTCGATAACCAGGATCGGATATCTATTTTTGAAGTAATTGAAGTTTTAAGTATAGAGCAGCAGAAATATGGAGTGTAGTATTATTTTTATCTGCGCGCATTTCCAACCGCACTTTCCCTCTCATCCTAACTTTAAAACTCTTATTCCGGATTTAAGAAAAAAACGCTATTTAAACCACATACAAATCTTAAAAATATTATTATAATGTAAAGCTGTGTATCTAAATAAAATGTTTTGATGAAAATTTAAAGAAAAAATGCTTAATTTTGAGTATTAATTGCTACAAATCCTAAAGTTTTTATTTTACATTTCACCAAAAATATTTTAATTAAGTACACAGCTATTTCAACCCTGTTGTCAACTCGAGAGCTCAGATATTATGGTGCTTCATAATCAAACGTACCAAATGATTGCCTATAGTGCTCGACATTTTATTATTTTTACATTAAAAATGTAGAAATTTATTCGATCGTCAAAAGAAGTGTGTAGGTCGACTCACCGAATTCATGTTCACATAGCAATAAACATAATGATTTGGTCAGCCGTGCTATACAAAAATTGTGTAGCTCTAGCTACCGAATTACATTATTTTTAGCTAAAACTTTGAAATTAGATATGTCGTTCAAACCACCTAGATACTTTATGTTACTTCAGCGAGAACGTAGGAACTTGCCTGGATTATTGTTTATTTTGAGTACAATAATAACGATAGATACTACTAAATTTCAAACGAGGTAACCGTTCGAAGAAGCAATTTTTTTTATAACAAAAGGTGTTCAAATTATTTTGGTTTCGTCACAAAAATATGAGAATTAAGCCAAAAAATGGTCGTATTTTGTTGAATTAAAATGTTTTTGTACAAACATTTAATTATGACGCCCCTTCTTCATAAAAACTTAATCATGTGTTTTGTTTAGCGTCGAGTGCTAAAATGTACGTATATAATACCGTAGATACAAATTTAATTATGAATCTACATACAATGGAAAATAAAACTATAAACATGTGACAGTAGGTATGACGTCATTTTCAGTAGTATTTTAATTAAAACCGTTTAATACGATAATTTAAATATTTTTATAAAATAACTTAAGCGATTACCGCAAATAACATACAAAATTTGCTTTGATGCAAATTCTCAACTATTACTATTTATTAGGAAGTATGTCGCAATATAAATATGTTGTTTATCTTTATCATAAAAATACTTAGTTAGTAAACAGGAAAATGGTAGACTGAACTGCACACATTTGTATACCACGGCCAATCAAATTTCTACGTTTTTGCTAAGAATAACATAAATTCAGTAGCTAGAGCTACTCACTTTTTGTACACAACGGCTGACTGAATTTGTACGTTTATCGCTATAATACATGAATTCAGTGATTCGATCTACACACGCTGAAAATTCGGTAGGCTGAACTGCACACATTTGGATACCACTGCCAATCTAATTTATACGATTTCGCTACCATAACCATAAATCGGTAGATAGAGCTACACACTTTTGTGTACGACGGCTGACTTTATATATTTATCGCTATAATACCATAAATTTGGTAAGTCGATCTATACACATTATGCATACGACGATCGAGTCAATTTCTACATTTTCTAATGTAAAAATAACAAAAAGTTGATTAGTCAAACATTTTTTTTTTCTGCCAATTTAGTTTCAATGTTGAAAAATCAGGCAAAATTGATACTTTTTTGTAATATCAGTAGAAACTATTTGAAGAATAATGATAGCCGTATTATGGTCACAAAGACAATTTTTGATTAGAAAATTATACCTTAACTATAACTAGAACACAAAATAATTAAGTATAATTATTAATTCGTGCTCATAATGATATAAAAAAAGGTAATTTTTTATTTATACAATAATAAGCTGAATATTAATGCAATGAAGTTGCTATAATTTTTTTTAATATTATTAATATCCTAATAGTAATGATGTACAACTATGGCCGATCTAATTTTTACGTTTTGCTAAAAATAACGTAAATTCAGTAGCTAGAGCTACACACTTTTTGTACACGACGGCTGACCGAATTTGTACGTTTATCGTTTATATTAACACGAATTCGGTGAGTCAATCTAGGTCAATCTGGTTGAGAATTTTCTTCATTTTTCAAAATAGAAATCACAATAAGTAGGTCACACATACTATCATTCTTTTTACTTTTTGCCCTCTTGTGTCTGAAGTTCAGAATTATTGTACAAAATGTAAAATCGATTATTGCGAAACTGGCAATTCCTTGGTATATATACGGTCAATCCAGTAGTCAAACATTCAGTACAACTACAAATTACACACAGTACTGACTCGTTGCTTTTACATTTTATAACGCAATTTCGCAATCATGTACCGATTAATTTTTGTGTTTCTCGCTGTAACCAGCGTTCGGTCCGCAATCATAACCTTGAACGTAAATACGCAATCCGGCGACAATCCGAATGTAATTTCTAATTCCGATCCAAATAATGTTATAATGTATGCAGAAGCCCAAAAAGCGGCATTTACGATTAAGTACAACTACGCCGACAGTCATTTGGAAGTACGTGACTCATTTTTAAGCTTTGGAAAATGGACCGATGGTAAATGTAATGAGTTAACGTCTCCAAATGGTTCGAAAATCTCAAAAGATAATCCGCTGACCGTTCGAGCGTGCGGCCGTGAACATTCGCCGTCGGGTGTCACTGGTTATTTATTCCTGAGGAAGCAAGGCGAGACGGAGAATGATTACAAGTTGACGTTTGATGTGCCGTGGGGAGCAGGTGCTAACAAGTTTGTGTTGACCGCCCTTAAAGATGAACCGACTGTATCTTGTGAGCTAGCCCCTGATAGTGGGTCAAGTATGGTTAATAAATCTATTCGCTGTTTTAGAGTTCTATAATGTACGACATTACTGTAACCGCACTGTATTGGTGTAGTCTTGGTGAATACTTTGTGTAATAAAAATTGTATTTTTTGGCAATAATGTATTCTTAAGTGAACACTTTTGTAATAAAAATTGTATATTTGGATATTAGTGTAGTCTTATCGTGCTGTAATAAAAATTATAATTTCAGAGCAAAATATAGATTGTTTTTTTTATTAACATTTCCATTAAATAAAATGTACTGCCTTAATTGTCGTTTGAAAATTTGTATGAAAAATCACTTATGTATTATTTTCTGTTATACAACATACACACTAAAGATGGGTATCCAGCGATCTGGGTTTTAACAAAAAAGTGCTATTTATGCCACCTAAACATATTATTAGGTACAATGAATAGCCATGTACTGTAATTAAAACCGTTTAATACGATAATTTAAATATTCTTATAAAATAACTTAAGCGATTACCGCAAATAACATACAAAATTTGCTTTGATGCAAATTCTCAACTATTACTATTTATTAGGAAGTATGTCGCAATATAAATATGTTGTTAATCTTTATCATAAAAATACTTAGTTAGTAAACAGGAAAATGTTATTGAAAAACAAGATTGTTTTTGTAAACACTCGTGCAGTGCTCACGGGTATAACCTTTTGACATAAATAGGATTTGGTTTAAGGGTTCGGGGCTGATTCAATCTGTAACGTTTTTACGTATAACATAAAACATTAACTAATGACGGGCATTTTTTGAGTTGAATATAAAGTGTGCGAATACTATGTTGAACTAAAACGATAACTATACATATTTTTATAGTTTTCATTTTAAGGGGCCTCTACACCTGCGTATTTTTAGTCAAAAACATCTCATTCTACTTCAAACTCCTAAAAATACTCCGATTTGAGTTTTGAAAAACATTTAAATTCTTCATAACATTCTCAAGAAGCACATTGTTAAAATTATTTTTTGTTAATTAATTATTTCAGATAAAAATTGCAGGTTTTACATTTAATTAATTAACTAACTAAAAATAATTGTAAAATTGTGCCACAGTAATTGCCTTGAAAATGTTATAAACAAAAAAAATGTTTCTCTAACTCTTAAATCGATGCATTCTTAGGGTCAGTACGTATGTAGTAGCAACATAAGTTTTTAACTTCAACTTGATGCTATACCGACAATCTTTGAATGTATACCAGAGCGTGTTACTATGTTGAAAATTTAGCCATTGATGAACACGAGACTATAATTAAATGTTTTTTTGTAATATAATTTATAAACTTTTATAGTTCATGAAATAAGGATTTAATCAATATTAATTAAAATTTTACCGGCTGAAAAATTCGGTAGGCTGAACTGCACACATTTGTATACCACGGCCAATCAAATTTCTACGTTTTTGCTAAGAATAACATAAATTCAGTAGTTAGAGCTACACACTTTTTGTGTACGACGGCTGACTGAATTTGTACGTTTATCGCTATAATACATGAATTCAGTGATTCAATCTACACACGCTGAAGAATTCGGTAGGCTGAACTGCACACATTTGTATACCACTGCCAATCTAATTTATACGATTTCGCAAAGAATACCGTAAATTCAGTAGAGCTACACACTTTTTGTGTACGACGGCTGACCGACTTTATATATTTATCGCTATAATACCATGCATTTGGTAAGTCGATTTATACATATTATGCATACGACGGTCGAATCACTTTCCAAATGTTCTTATATAAAAAAAAAAAAGTTAATTAGTCAAACTTTTTTTTTTTGCCAATTGAGTTTCAATGTTGAAAAATCAGGCGAAATGAATACTGTTTTTTTTGTATATCAGTGAAAATTATTTGAAGAATGATAGCCGGTTATGGACACAAAGACGCCGTTTGATTAGAAAACTCTACCTAACTATAACCATTTAACTCAAAGCTATAACTAGTACACAAAATAATGAAGCATATTAATTAATTGTTCTCATAATAATACATGTAAGAAATTAATTTTTTATTTATACAATAATATGTTGAATATTAATGCATTGAAGATGGTATAATATCAATAGTCTGAGATTCTATATCGAAGCTGTCGAGTTGATAACCCTGTGTGTGAAGGCAATAATGTGGCCAGAAAGTCAATGAACTGAATGTATTATCTATATTATTTTGTACTGTTTGTCCTCTTGTGTCCGAAGTTCAGAATTAATTAAGTGATTAATAAATTAAGTGGTTTAAAATACTTGTCCAGTACAATATATAAAATTGATTACTAGTGAGTAGAAGTACAACTGCGTCGACAGTTATTTGGAAGTACGTGACTCATTTTTAAGCTATGGAAAATGGGCCGATAGAGATTGTAATGAGATAACATCTCCAAATGGTTCGAAAATGTCAAAAGATAATCCGCTGGCCATTCGAGCGTGTGGCCGTGAACATTCGCCGTCGGGTGTCACTGGTTATTTGTTCCTGAGGAAGCAAGGCGAGACGGAGAATGATTACAAGTTGACGTTTGATGTGCCGTGGGGAGCAGGTGCTAACAAGTTTGTGTTGACCGCCCTTAAAGATGAACCAACTGTATCTTGTGAGCTAGCCCCTGATAGTGGGTCAAGTATGGTTAATAAATCTATTCGCTGTCTCAGAGTTCAATAACGTGCAATATTGCCGTAATCGCATTGTAGTTTTAATGAATACTTTGTGTAATAAAAATTGTATATTTCGTTATTAGGTGCCCCTAGTCTTATCGTATTATATTAAAAATTATACTTTCAGAGCAAAATATGTACATATATTTTTAAACATTACCATTAAATTTAATTTACTGACTTAATTGTCATTTGAAAATTTGATTGAAAAAACACTAATTGTATTATTGTCTGTTATATAACATCCGGTAATCCGAATTTTCACAAAAAAATGCTATCTTTTTTTACTATCTTTTATCAAAAAACGTTAACAATATGTTATTAATGTAAACATTAATAATAGTGAACTATTTAAAAATTTTAATAAATAATGTTACGTATTAGTTATTTATTATGTTACAGCTTACATTTCGAATCGGTATGAATCTAATGAACTAACAATACACTTCTAATCTGATATACACTTCAATTATATTGTAATTACATGATTAATACAAATTATAACAAATATTAAATAAATAAAATATAATTCCAAATGTTGGGCTTTTACTTTTCAATGTGGTAGTAACAATGTGCTAAATGTACAGTGCAAATGGTAACAATCATTTTAGAGAGGTAAATATTTTAAGAGACATATGGTATACCATATGGTATTAAGGACATCGAATCCATGGACCATGGCCGTATTCAGTGGGGGGGGGGGGGTTTGAACCCGGACCCCCCACCCCGAAATTTCATCGAAAAATGTTTGTATTACCTTGCCTTTATGTCTTTTGTTCCATTTTTCTAAAAAGTATTCTTGAAAATGATGTAAAAAAAGAAAAATATTTTGATGTAAGTTTTCTTTTAACTTTAAAGCCTAAAATAGAATTAAATAAAAATAAATACGTGATATTATCGTTACCGCCTGCTTAGGCTTATGGACACGCCAATGAATTTTAGTTTTTTTCGAATTTCGTTGGTGTACCTAATTGAAAGACGTCCATAAGGAGGAATACATTACTTATACCAGATCATGCACTAGAAAAATGTCTAGAATTAACAAACCAGACATATAAAAAAACTAAAAAGTAGAAAATAATTTTCAATATAGAAATCAATTAATAAAAAATAAATAGTATTATTGTGAAAAAAACGTGGGGTGCTACATATATCAGTTTTTGAAAAGCGCCCCACACTTTTTTCACAATAATACTATTTATTTTTTATTAATTGATTTCTATATTGAAAATTTTTATTAATTGATTTCTATATTGAAAATTATTTTCTACTTTTTAGTTTTTTTAAACTATATATTTTTTTTTTATTTTCCGCTTTTTAGTTCGATGTGCTTTAAAATCGTGTTTTTTAATTCTAGTACATACGTGTCTCTATTACTTGATAACTTCAGGTAAACAACAATGAATACACGCATGTACGTTCGGTTGCCTATCTCTTTTAGTTACATAGTTACATACAAACATACAAACAAACATACATACAAGTGAAGCTAATATAAGCGTGTTAAAAAATGTTTTTTCAATTATTTTATTTTGAATTTAAACAGTAAGAATTTTAGGTAGGGGCGTTTCAAGCAATTGGGGACTTACGCATAGATGTCGATCCGGGCATAACTTAATGACTAACTTAAGACCAACTTAATGACTAAAATATCCCGGTATCGGCAGACGTTGCGTATAATAGAGTACGAAGGAGGTTATCCAGTAGGATCACGGGATAGATATTGGTAATTTGATTTACAAAAAAATCTTGTTGGTGTACAAAATGTTGTGACTTGATTAACTGGACGCAAATTTTAAAGTAAATAATTCATTTTTACTGAGCAGAAAATGTGAAAGGTTTATGAACTATAACGAGAACGACCACAACGCGAAAGTGAAAAGTTACAAACGAACAAATTGTTTAAGTAGTTTAGTTCAATTATCTGAAATGACAATAGCGCTAAAATGTATAAATTTACTTAAATAAATAAATTATAATTGATCTAAAAACTTTTATATTCGACAGTTGTAATAATTTATGTTTTTGCCATTAAGTTGAAAAAATTCGAAGGTCAAACAGCACACTTTTGTGTGCCACCGATCTAATTTCTACGTTTTCGATGAAAATAACGTAAATTTGGTAGCTACACAATTTTGTGTAAGACGGTTGACCGAAATTCTATGTTTATTGCTTTAATAACAAGACTTTGGTGAGTCGATAAATGAATAGACACTAGACTTTACTCATACGACGGCCGAGTCAATTTCTA